CATTGTGGGAAAATTCTACTACCAGTCCTTCATCACCTTACACGAAATAGGGTGAATACATCTCATAATAGGAAGATCAGCAAAAAGAAGACGACTGGAACAAGGTAATATGCTTAATCGAAGGTATGAAGGCCAAGATGGTGTGGACTTTTGTGAGGTCGCAGTCTCCGTTCGTTGTATAGAAGTTGTTTGACCTTGTTTTCGCAACTCGGTCATATTGGTAGCAAGACTTAGAGGAACACACCTAGTCCGGAGTCAATTGTATGCATCATCATTTCCAGAGTGGGACCGTGGACGTGGTACATTCCCAGACGCTTCGCCGGCATTGTAGTCGGCATCGTCAGTGAGTCTCGCCAGTCTTAGCATCATATTACAAACTCGTCCTTTGACCAAACGTGTGTTAAACAGTTATGATATCTCCCCTTCTGCCCTGGCCTATTCACATTTCCTACATCCTCCTATCATTCTTAATTATTCTTAATGTAGTGTAATGTGCTCCTTCGAGCGGCATTCATGAAAACCCTTCACACTCCCCATTGTCGTTATCACCCCCTTCACCCTTGTGCTGGAAATGTTGACCAGAGTCTGTCATATTGTTATGTAGTCCCTCCCTGGGTCATATCAAAGTCTCCCTCTTGCCCCGTCGAATACGTCTGCCATCTCCCTGGTACATGTATTTCACTCGACCCCTACCCTCCCCATCTGTGCTATTCGAGGCGTTATTCACCCTCCCTTGGCTGACTAATTCGAGGCTACAGCCTCAGAGTAAGTCTCATGGTCATACCTTTGCTACATGGACCACGCCTCTTGTAAAACCAACTGTCAGCCAACTAGCTCCAATCGCCGCCTCATCTATCCTGTCTATCCCTAATAGCAAGTATATGACTTGCCATGTCCTAGTCGCTTGTGTGCCAACCCACAAACGTTGTGGTTCAACATTAAACCTACTCAAAGCCAGTAGTATTACAACATTTATGGGTTGGCACACAAGCGACTAGGGCATGGCAAATCATAGACTTGGTATTAGGGATAGAGACAGGATAGATAAGGCGGCGATTGGAGCTAGTTGGCTGACAGTAGTTTTTACAAAAGACTTGAACTATGTAGCAAAGGCATGACCATGATACTTACTCTGAGGCTTTAGCCTCTAATCAATCACCCAGGTGCAGGGGATGGACGAAT